ACTCAGTAAAGTTTTTTGGAAATCAATTTCCTAAGAGGGTGAAATTAGGGGTGAAGACAGTTCTAGAAGTATGAAATTTTGCACGGAGGTCTTTTATGTCGCAAGACTGAACAGTTAGAAGCGATTATCGGAAAATCATATCTAGTCTAAAAATTGGGGGCGAAATTTTGCATAAAATTTTTTAAAATTAGTTAGGAGCGTGAAATTTTGTATCGGGGTTTCTTAAGTGACGAAAGTGGATTTTGGACATTCATCTCTTAAAGGGGTGAAATAAGGGATGAAAATATGTAGATACTAAAATTTGTTAAATCGGATTTAGAAGTACGAAAATCTGCGCAGATGTTGCTTATGTAACATAATTTAGCAATAAGAAGCATTTTTTTTTTTCAGAATGTCCACTCTATATTTCACGCCTTTAGAAAGCGAATTTCCAAAAATTGTTTCTTAGTACTAAATTACGGTACATTAGGAACACCTGCGCAGAATTTCATACTTCTAAAACCGATTTTAACAAATTTTCATCCCTTATTCTTAGGGAATGGGTGTCCAAAATTTGTTTCTGAGTACTCACTTTCATCACCTAAGGGAGTTCTGTTCATAATTTTATACTCCTAGTCCTAGAACGGTTATTACATAAAAATTATACAAATTTTCACCCCTAGTTTTACTCCCTTAAGGAATGAATTCCGAAAATCGGCCTAACTATTCAATTATCCTACATAAGAAAGCTCTGTCCAAATTTTCATACATCTAGGACAGACTTTTTTCAGAACGTTCACCCCTCATTTCATCTCAGAGGGCAAATTTTTAAAAATTACTTCTTAGTGCTACGGTAGATAAGGAACGTCTGCGCAGAATCTCATACTTTTAAAACCAATTTTAACAAACACATTTTTGCACCAATTTTTATCCCTTATTTCTTAGGGGATGAATGTTCAAATTTCGTTTCTGAGTAGGTACTCACTTTCATCACTTAAGAACGTCTACAAAATTCACACTCCTAGAAATAATTTTTTAACTAAAAAATTATACAAAATTTCACACCCAGATTCACTCCCTTTGGAGAAGAATTTCCGAAATTCGCTTCAAACTACTCAATTGCGCTACTTAAGGCACCTTAAATTTCGTACCTAGCACATACTATAATTTTTTTATGTACAAAATTCAACCCTCATACCACTCCCTTAAAGATCGAATTTCAAAAAATCGCCCCTTAGTGCTCAATTACGTCAGCCAAGAAGACACCGTGAAAAAATTCATACTCCTAGACCAAATTAAAAAAAATGCAAACCTTCATCCCTAATTTCACCACCTTGGCGATCGAATTTCCAAAAATCCCTTCTTTGTGCTTATTTATATCTCTCAAGGAACCTATATGTGCCAAATTTCATACATCTATGTTAAGCAGTTTCGGCTGTGCGTCGATACCTAAATCAATCAACATTGAATTTTATACAGGGTGAGTCTTAAATAAGGGGAAATATTTTTAGGGGTAGTATATTTCAACCCCAGAAACACGAGGTTTTTTCGCGAAAAAAAAAATTGAAAATGGGAATTTTTTGAAAAAATTTTTGGAAATTTTTTTAGTTTTTTTTTTAAATATAATTTGTTGATAATATGGCAACATAGGTAGTAGATTAAATTTACAAGAAAGAAAACCCAGAAAAGATCCAGTGGTTCTCAAAATTTTAGCAAAAGTAAAAAATATCTGGGTTATTTTAGATTTATTTGAAGGCTGTACTTAAACTGCCGTTAAACGGTAGCTTACTAAAATGCCGTTAATGGGTATGGCGTCGTTGATGTGACGCATTTGACGGCTTTATGAAATATAGGAATTTTATAAGGACTACCCAACGCTATCCACCCCACCAAATAACCAACTTAACCAACGCAACTAACCTCGACACTGATAAAAAAAATATAAAAAACAAATATAAATTAGTAAAAACCAACCAACCCCACGAAATAACCAACTAACCAATGAATTAACACCCTCCAAATAACCACGCTAACCAACCCGCCAAATAACTAAACCAATCCAACCAAAAAGAGTGAAACCAATGCAATAAGATCACGCCATAAGCAAAAAAAAATATGAAAAAGTCATGTCGGCGTGAGATTTGAACCACGGACCATTCGCTCACGAAGCAATAGCCTCAGCCACGGAGCCACAGGTGCTCTTGCAAAATGCTTATAGCTAGGCATTACTTTCCGCCGACATGAACGACGTCACAATACCTATTAACGGCATTTTAGTAGGCTACCGTTTAACGGCTGTTTAAGTACATCGTTATTTGAAAAACGGTAGGAGAATGTTAATATATAATCTATAATAGAATAATATGTTTCTTTTATCGAGATCTACCAGCCCTGAAAATATTTGCACTTATTTAAGACTCAGGGTGCATTCACACTATCCTAGAAACGGCGTATCGGCGTAACGGCATAACGATCTTGAATAGATTTCCAGTAATTCTATTGGCTGAAATTTTTGACAGATGAATTTTACAGATAAAATTTCTGACAGATGAATTTTTCAGCCAATAGATTTGCTGAAAATCGTTTCAAGGTCGTTACGCCCAGGGCCGGCGGAAGGGAAATATTGAGACCGGGCGAGTACCATAACTGGCGCCCCCCCCTCCTGTATAATAGTTATTATAACTCTCTCTTTCCTTCAATACTATACTTTAACTACAACTAAGCATATTTATGCTACTTTAACAATACATTTTTACTTAAAGATACTTCAAAATTCTTCTCTTCGTTCAATCTTATTCTACGGTTGTTTTTTCTACTACGGTTGTTTTTTCTACACATCCCTATATCTTTTTTATTTTTTTAGATAAAAAATCGAGATTTGGTATGTTAGTATATGACATAAATTAGGCTTGATTGACGTATTCAACATTTTCGTTTAAAAAATCGTATTTTAATTTTCTAATGTAGAGTGCCCTGATTGTATTAAAAACACTGATTTATTAATTTAAACAAGGAGCCTTGGAAAAATAGATTTGATCGTCTAATGTTTTTCGTGTCTTGTCCAGGCCGGTTAAAATATACTGAAATCGTATTTTTAATAATATCTCAATTTTTTCAAATGGAACAAGTGTGGCTTATTTGTAAATTTGGAAAAAGCATTTTTTACGAATAATTTGAAACACACGAAATACACACCTGGTATTTCGAGTCAATATAAACAATGACACCGCACACCGTGATAACAACTTAGAAATTCAAACTACAAAGAATGTCTGCGAAAACACAAATTTTACAAGTTTTAAACAAAAGGACGATGGGGCGATGGATGCAGTAAATAAAATGGAGACTGAACTTGGAAATTGCAAAACTATCGAAAGTCCCTACAGCAGATAAAAACAACTGGCCAGTTAGAATTTTTTTTTATTACGAAGATTAAAGAAAACAGAAAGGGAAAAATGATTGGTGTGCAACCTACATCATGCATAAGAAGCAAAGTTCGGTCTGATTTTAAATGTGGCAGAAAACGGATTCAGAGCGAAAGACCTTCAAGAATTGAAGGAAAAACAACCAAGAAGAGAAGTCACACGTTAATTCAAAACATCTATGAAAATGTATCCACGCTAAAAAGCACTAGTTTGTGTAATATGAAGATTTTTAAAACTACTTTTTGGTAATAAAAACTGATGAATGAATTTTGGTATTAACTTATTGTTTTAAAAAAGTTATAGGAATCTACTACCGTGTATATATTTCGCTGCAAACACTGCCATCATGTATGCTTGTTTATTTGTGCAATCTGCACTGTAGTCGTGTAGATTATCACTATGAACACTAGAACGCTGTATGATTACCAGCAACCAATAGCGCTCCTTAAAATACTCTTGGGCGGAGTCTGCACTGTTATCGTGTATATTATACAAAATCGCGCCCGGTCTTTCCGCCGCGCCGGCCCTGGTTACACCGTTACGCCGATACGCCGATATGCCATTTCTAGTATAGTGTGGATGCACCCTCATACATATTACATATTATATTGTTGCGGACCCGTGTGGACTCGGCATAACCTAACTCACTAATATGCTTAGCTAATATGTCCCTCCCCCATATGACCTTAATATCGCATTAAAAAATAGACACCGTAATGATTCATTCGAACGTTTGAGAACAATCGAGTTCCACTGGAATGGAGTAGTACATACGAGAACATTCTAAACCTTCTCTATGCACCTAATGATCTAACGTCTAACGGATTATTCGAGAACTGCTTAGCTGTGGGTATATAAAAAAAGCCAAAGCCCGGGGCCTGAAGAAGACAGAAATAAATAGACGAGTACAGTTGCCGCGCTAAATTCAAAATAAATTCTTTCTAGATAAATAGTTATAAATCGTTTGTAAATAGTTCTTTAAGTCTACCTGTATACCTGTGAGTGCAAAATCACGTTTTCGCCCAACTCTAATTTGTAGGCATTTGGATCACTAAATGTTTTAGGCAAGTGTTTGTTCGATTTTGTTTTGATATTAAAAAATGTGCTTCAGTAGGTATGGGGTCACTTGAGCCAGACAGCCACTTTCGGTCCAGATACTGATGAAAGTGACGTAAATCAGGTAAGAACGGTTAAAATACGCAATAATGAACAATAATAAACAGGTTTAAACAAGTAACAACAGATTTAAAATAGAAATAAGCAGGTTTGAACAGAAAATGAACAGGTCTGTTGTTTTAAGCTTCAAAGCGGGTCAAACCTGTTTATTCTTGTTTATTAGCGTATTTTAACCGTTATTACCTGATTTGCATCACACTCCATCAGTATCTGGACCGAAAGTGGCTGTTTGGCTCAAGCGATCCCATACCTACTTGCTTCTCCTATAGTTGCCTGAAGAAGCGACAATAAAGTCGCCAAACGTCGCGCGTCGCACAAAATATAATTGTTTTTTTTTCGAGCCTTCCCAAATACCCACGATTTTTTCTACATACTAATTACTGGAAACAAACAATAATCAAAAGTTTTTATTAATTGCAGAATATATTTACGGGACCTTTACTGGACTTGGCATAACAGCTGGAGCACATCGATTATGGTCGCACCGGTCATATAAAGCTAAGTTACCATTAAGAATTTTTCTTATGTTGGCACAGTCGGCTGCTTTACAAAATAATATATATGTGTGGGTAAGTGTGATTACACTGTGCTCAATGAGAGAGAATGCATAAGTGATAGGTGTTGACTAGTGATGGGAAAAACCGATTAATTTCAATAATCGAGTACTCGAGTTTCAAGTGATTGCAATAACTGAGTGATCGCTCGAGCGAAATATCACTCCTATTTAAAAATACGGTTTTTTACCCGTCGCGCGGCGCTTTTTGTAAGTACTCGTTAACGCCAAGCGCCAAGCAGTAAGTATGCAGGGCACATATTCCTTCGGTGATGAATGGCAAGTAGCAAGCGGCGAGCGATTAGCTTGATCGCTTGATTTAGTTTATTTCAAAGCAATTGTCGATGTAGGTCGTAAAATGTTTTCCCTAACCTAACCACCCCGACACGCAACGGATAAATATATACATATACTGCGTCGTATAAATTTGCTACCTGCAATGCATGTATAGTATGTCATATTAAAATCGGATTTCAACTTATTTCATTCTGGGATCGCTTGCGTTCGTCGCTTGGAACTCGCTCGTTCATAATCGAGCGATGTCGGTTATTTCAATAATCGAGTACTCGAGCGAATTTTCGCTCGATTTATCCCATCATAATTGACCTTATTTGATTATTAAAATATAATTAAATATTTAATGTAATAAAAATAATAATATGTATATTGGCTTTTAAGTTTTTACAAATAAAAATTAAACAGAAACGAATAAGTTCGAAACAAAGTACCTAATTTATTGCTATTCGAAATATTCACCCTTAATGTACATACATTTCTGCAAACCAATTCTGGAAACATTTTTTCCGTTCTCAAGCTGATATCGTAAAAACATGGCTTTGAATGTGTTCAACACAACAGCTTCTTGAGGTGATGAAAATCGCTCTCCGCGCATCTTTTGTTAAACAGTGGGGAACAAGAAAAAGTAATTAGGCGATAAATCGGGTGAATACGAACAATGAGACATTAATTCGATGTTTTTTCAAATAGTCAGTTGTTTGACGTGCTTTATGGGAGCTGGCATTGTCTTGATGAATGATGCAACGTTTTTTGTTCTTATTTCTTATATATAATATACAATATACAGGGTTGTTCACCACATACGACACGGAGTATTGTAGCTAAACGATTAGATTTTTACAAAATGTAAGTTTTGGGTTCATTGAAGGACTATTAGAGCTACAACTTAAAAATATTTTTACAAGATACAGAGTGTCCCAAATAAATAAAAAATATTAAAGTTGTATTTTTTTAAATGAAACACCCTGTATATTATTGCATTTTTAGTTTCTACGATTAAAATAAAGGTAAATTTGATTAAGGTTTATTATACTTAAACCTTACCGTTTTTGAAATATTTTCAATTTTGCGAAATTGCAGTATAAATTTTAAGGCTTCATTTCTCCGAGGATATCAAAGTTTTTAATACTAAATATTTACTGAAGTTTATTTATTGATCAGTTATTGTGTTGCAATAATAAAAATTATACTACCTTATACAGAGTGTCTAAAAATTTATTTTAAATAATTACTAGTTCTAAACGGCAATAACTTATTTACTTTAAATAGAACACCCTGTATATTTTATGAGAATCAGATGCACAATTTAATTGTCTATCAAAGTGTATTATACCACTTCTTACCTATTCTTTCAAGTTTTCGTAGAAAATGCATTTTCTGATAATTTAGACCTCATTTATCAATATACCCATGGAATATTGACATTTTAGATTGTTTTTAAAACAACAAATGTAAAAAATGTACAGGCTAGTAATATTATCGTTTTTAGTAAAACGATAATATTACTAGCTCATTTGTATGCAAAAAGAAAACTATCTAAATCTTGATAAATAATATTGCCAACACAGGAAGTTAAATACCTGGGAATAACCCTGGACAGTAAACTCCTGTGGAACAGGCATATTAAGAACACTACCAGCAAAGCCATAAAGGCTCTCATGATATGCAGAAGACTGGCCGGAAATAGATGGGGCTGCTTCCCTAACATTTTGCGCTGGATGTATACCATGATAGTAAGACCCATGATTACTTATGGAGCAGTTGCCTGGTACACAAAACTAGAGCAACGGACGGCAAGGCTAAACCTATGCAAAGTCCAGAGACTAGCATGTGTTTGCATCACAGGAGCCATGAGAACCTGTTCAACAGCAGTAATGGAGGTCATTCTAGATCTAACACCACTGCACATTGTCATTGGTAGATATGCCAATGCGACAATGATTAGAATGGTCACTAACGGAATTAGTACTGGGAGAATTGTCAGATCAGGGGCTTGGAACACCCTCAAAAAGGAAATACCACTCCTGCAACTCCCAGTGGACGATATGCCAAGAACGTACAACTTTGACAAACATGTCAATGTAGTATTGAGCAATAAGAAGGATTGGAAGAGCGAAACGCTTGCCCGGCAGTTAAAAGACCATACCATAACTTGGTATACTGATGCTTCCAAAACCAATACGGGAACAGGGATCGGAGTGGTTGGGCCGAGAGCTAATTACTCCGAACCAATGGGCACTTACCCTAGTATCCTACAGGCAGAAATCTACGCTATCGAGAGATGCGTACAACTTATCTTAGGTAGGAACTATCGGAAACAAGAAATAGCCATCTTGTCTGATAGTCAAGCAGGGTTAAAGGCGATCAACTCAGTATCAATCAATTCGAAATTGGTCTGAATAAATTAGGCAAAGAAAACAAAGTCCTCCTACACTGGGTGCCTGCTCACCAAGGGATAGAAGGCAATGAAAAAGCAAATAATCTAGCTAGGAAAGGAGCGAACACTCCACTAACTGGACCAGAACCGTTCTGCTTTCCAAGTGGTAAGCAACTCAAGGCGGAACTCAAGAACTTGGAAGATTCCATCCGCAACCTGGAATGGAAATCTTGCAATGGTCTAAGACACTCGAAGAAGTTTCTGAGAGCTTATGATCAAGAAAAATCACAGATCTTCCTGGGTCTGAGTAAGAACAATCTTCGGATTCTCACGGGGTTTTTAACAGGGCACTGTTTCCTCAATGAACACCTCAGTAGATTGAAACTAAGAAGAAACGGCGAATGCAGATTCTGTGGGGAAGATGGTGAAACACCAGTACACCTCATCACTGAGTGCGCCGAGACGACAACCATTCGTGCCATGAATTTTGGTACGACTGATATTGGAGATAGAGAACTACCCTCTATAAAACCGTCCCAGATACTGGCTTTTGTCAAAGCCCTCGGACTGTATGATGAGTTATGATTCAAGAAAGGGGGCACAATGGATCTATAAGGTCGAAGTGATTAACCCCCCTCCCACTCATTCTAAATTCTAAAAATTCATTCTAAATCTTGATAAAAGAGTATACCATTAATTAAATATACCACCAGTATTTCCGCCCAAATACTAATTAACTACATACTTAATTGTGTTCGTTAATAAATTATTCTAAATAAATGTGGATTTGAATCAGAAATCAATATAATAATAAGTTATGAAAATGAACGTCTCTGTTGTTATAAATAAGCATTTGTCAAAAAATTAAATATAATTTTTAAGGTGTTACTTTTTACCACACTGTCTAATACACATACATAATTCACTTTTTTAGTATTTGGAGCAATTATTATTAATCAACGCAAGCAGTCAATTAATGTAATTTGAATACTGGAATCATATTAATAGGTCCTCTTTAACAAATATTTAAACAGTTTTTTTTATTTTTTAATGAAGCAAACGAACTATATCGACAATATTACTATCAGTACTCTTTAAAAATTTGGTACATCTTTAAAAATAATCTAAAATGTCAGTATTCCATGGGTATATTGATAAATGAGTTCTAAATTACAACAAAATGCATTTTCTACGGAAACTTGAAGAGATAGGTAAAAAACGGTATAATACAATTTGATAGACAATTAAATTGTGCATCTGATTCTCATAAAATATACAGGGTGTTCCGTTTAAATCAAACAAGTTATTGCCGTTTAAAGCTAGTAATTATTTAAAATAAATTTTTAGACACTCTGTATAAGGTAATAAAGTTTTTATTATTGCAACACAATAACTGATCAATAAATAAACTTCAGTGAATCTTTAGTATTAAAAACTTTGATACCCTCGGAGAAATGAAGCCTTAAAATTTATACTGCAATTTCACAAAATTGAAAATATTTCAAAAACGGTAAGGTTTAAGTGTAATAAACCTTAATCAAATTTACCTTTATTTTAATCGTAGAAACTAAAAATGTAATAATATATAGGGTGTTCCGTTTAAAAAAATACAACTTTGATATTTTTTATTTATTTGGGACACCCTGTATCTTGTAAAAATATTTTTAAATTGTAGCTCTAATAGTCCTTCAACGAACCCAAAACTTACAATTTGTAAAAATCTAGTCATTTAGCTACAATACTCCGTGTCGTATGTGGTGAACAACCCTGTATATAGTATACAAAATATTGAGTATTTAGAAAAAGGTTGATGTGAAACCAATCCAGAATATCCATTATTAAAATAAGTTAATGAATCATTTTTCCATGTTTCCAGTGGCAAATGTCTTGGCAGCAATTCATAAAGGTACCCATCAAACATGTAAAGAGGTGGCAATATACCAAATTATCGATAGTTGTTCATTTCATATAATGAAAATTTTTTTGGTCATTTTCGAAAAAAATATATAATTTTTTTGTGTGGATGAAAATAATTTCTAATGCAGTAATTTTTATTCATAAAAACAACGTTGTCTTAAAGTAAAAGAAAGAGTCTATTTTTCACAAAGAGACCTGATTTATAAATTAAAATAAAAAAAGATTGAAAGTGTCGGTCTCATACATTATTACACTGAAGTGTTGTTTTAATATGTAAATGGTGAACGTGTGCGTGATGTTTTTAATTTTATTTTTGTCTGATGATGTTTGTATGAACGAAACCCGTGTCACTTGTGTCACTTAGGGCTCAAACGCACTGACAACCAGGTCGCTGCTACCTGAAAACCATTAAATCAAATGATACAAAGCGCACTAATGACCTGGCTATCGGCTGGTCGCTGCGACCAGTAGACTGCACTAAAATATTATTATTTTCTGCCGCTTCTTGCCGCTTTTCTTCCAAATTAATAATTTTTCGGATGAAATCCCTCAAATTCAAGGCAAAATTTTCTATAAGATATAGGTAGTGTAGTTTTTGCACACGTGCAAAAAAAACAAATAAATAGTATACAGTCTAGATCAAAGAGAAACTTAAATCTAGTATTTTTTTATCAAGGCTTGATAAAAAAGTCTATATTATAATAAAAGACTAAATATTCAAAACATTGTTGTATGGCATACTCTATTTATGGTTGGTATGATACCTGTTATTATACCTTCGAATTTCGATGGTAAAACTATAAAAATAAAAAAGCATATTTACAGTTTCTGTTTATCCGCCCTGTATAATCTTTTTCGCTTCCTCTACAATGTGTGAAAACTATATACTCGTATATGCTAATTACCCTACTGTAATTACAATTAATATTTTAAATGTATTATATAATAGTAGAACATATTCAAATAAGCTCATGAATAGGACCTTCGCTTTTTAGTTAACTCGGATATTTTAACATTTTTGGTAAAACGTAAAAAATCGTTAGATCAGACAGCTCTTCTGAAACTAGTCGTTCATCTGGACGCATCCATGTACGCAATATATCCGACCAGCCAACGGCCAGGTCGCTGCGAATTGAGCTCGTATGCCGGGTCCAGACCAAGCAGACATAACAGTGACAAGACAGAAAAATTTATGTTTTACGACAAAGTTGTGACAAATCCAATACACTTCTGCGACATTTTTGTCTCATTTTTGTTTTGTTTCAAAATTCGGAGACTTTTCAATGTCCCGTCTCGAGTCGATAAAGATCAAAGTGTCTATGTTTTGTTCGTATATTTTGCGACAAGTTGTCGGCGCATTGTGGATAGCGTGTGCTGCAGTGGTGTAGCAAGGCGGTGGAGGAGGAGCCGGGCCGTCCCAGGCGGCGACCTTCCAAATACCTGCGGGGCGACAAAACTCTCTCCTAGAGGCTCTTCGCCCCGGGCGCCCCTAACCCACGCTACGCCACTGGTGTACTGCCAACAGTAGGAGACCAGTGAAATCAGATATCTTTCACACATGGTTAATAAAACTCATTCGCAACAACTAAACTTTTGACTTTGTTGTACTTTTGTCCTTGCGGTGTGGATAATTTGTCTCAAGTTTGTCTTGTCAGAATTCCTTATTTTTTGTCGCAAGTTTGTCCTGTTTTTGTTTCAAAATCGTGTTTACTTTTTGTCGCCTTGGTCTGGGCCCGGCATTAAGCCCGTATTTATAGTCGCGTCTCGAAACTGGGTCTCCGAAAACACTGACAAAAATAACAGGCTTACTAAGCGCGTATACGAAACCAAAGACTACACACGAAACGTAAGCCTGTTAAGAAGCCTATTATTTTTGTCGCTCTTTTGCATCTCGTGACTGGAGTCGCGTTTTGAGACTCGACTATAAATACGGGCCTCAGTTTTCTGAACGTATGATACCGAGACTTTCAGTCCCTTTTCATTTTATTTTTTTAAATGTTAATAAAAATCCAAAATCAGACTTAACTAATTTAAAATTATATTTAAGTATTTCAAAAACGATAATTGATTAAATTAATTGGTATTCCGAAAATATAAACCTTTAGCTTTTAAATTAATTAGCGCTGTACTGTGACAGACGGAATTTTTTTGTTTTGTATTGTATTAAAATAATTGACGCAAAGTGATATTTAGTATTAATAAACATCGAAATATTAATGAAATATATTAGAAAATATTTATACCCAGTGGCGCAGCTAGGTACAGACTTCTGGGGGGCTCAAGTCTTTTGGGGGGTTTGGATCACCTATAAGATAATATTGATTTGAGGTTGAAAACAATTTTAAACAAACCACATCAGTCATCTTTTTTGTCATTATAAAATGTATTCTTCATTTATTAAACTATTATAGGTATTTTAAATAAACGTTATAAACTCCTATAAATTTAAATGTAGTCCATAAACTAATTTCGATTTTTAAAATAGCTATTAACTGTCACTAGAAAATTTCCATAACGACATTAGCCCTCTTGGTGGTCATTTTATTGAAAAATCGCTTTTAATTTGAAAAATCCCCTTTAATTTGAAAATTCGCCCTCAAAATCTGAGCCAGATAGGTATAAGAAACCCTAAGAAAGTTTGAAAGAATATTTAAATCTGCTTCCATTTATTTAAAAATAAGGGGGTGTAGCATTTGAAATAACGAAATTGATATGTAAAATAGATATTTAAAATATAAGTGAGCAATTTTTGATACCCTTTTATACATTAAAGGGAACAGTCAATTTTTTTAATAAAATTTATTCCTCTCGATTAAAAGTCAGCACAAGAATTAATTCTGAAAAGTAATAAAAATATTTTGTTTCTACATCTTTTCGTTTTCATATAATTAACCGAAGCGAATGAGGTGCGCCATCCTGTATATATGGATGTACAGGATGTCTTAAATAAGTGCAAATATTTTTAGGGCTTGTCTCTTAGTAAAGGTATTAAAGGTAGCTTAGATCTCGACAAAAGAAACATTCTTTCTCTATACCGTTTTCCAAATAAGTCCAATATAACCGAATTATTTTACTTTGAAAATTATAATAAAATACATATTTTTTGCTTAAATTTTGAGAACCACTGGATCTTGTCTGGATTTTATTTCTTGTAAATTTAACCCACTACCTATGTTACCATATTATCGAGATATGTTTTTTAACGTAAAATTAAAAACATTTCGAAATGAATTTTTCAAAAAATTCTGGGATCGAAATATACTACCCCTAAAAATATTTGCACTTATTTAAGACTCACCCTATATATAGATAAAATTATTAAATTTCTCTCACTATGTTATACCATTTTTATTTAAAATATTTTTCTTTCAGTGTAGAGATCACAGGGTCCATCACAAATTTACTGAGACGAATGCTGATCCCCACAATGCAAGCAGAGGGTTCTTTTTCTCTCATATCGGATGGCTATTATGTAGAAAACACAAGGATGTTATTGAAAAGGGTAAATTAATTGATATGAGTGATGTATTGGAAGACCCCGTAGTTCAATTTCAAATTAAGTAAACTTAATAGAGACACAGAGTGAACTTGTCTATCTATCAATTTTTTTAGATATTATATTCCACTGATATTTATAATGGCTTTTGGTCTTCCTACGACTATAGTATGGTATATTTCTGGAGAAACTTTCTGGATATGTTCACTTTTAAATCTTTTCAGATATGTTCTTTCCCTTAATGCGACTTGGTTAGTAAATAGTGCCGCACATATTTGGGGAATGAGGCCTTATGAAAGGTACTATTTTTTAGTTCTCATTTATATTTAATATCAATTAAACTTTTAGTTACGTAATCGAGAACGCGATTTTTCAATTCATTGTTGCCAATCATGGACATATTCGGCCCCGGCCGCAGCGCCGGCGCCGCTGTGACTAACTGGAATTTAAATTTCGCGCTGGGGATTCAGGTGTATCGGCTGTAAAAAATGTCAAGTTACCGCATTTATTTATTTATTTCCTGACATTAACATTCGTTTTGACACTTTAGTTTTGTTATTACGAGTTTTTGGTTTAACTAAATAGTGTTGTGATACTTTAAGCCTGAAAATGTTTACTAGCAAACTTTGCAGTCGAACATTGTTTTTTTTTAGAACCCCTTTTAGTGCGAAGTGTACAAGATAGCTTAATACCCGTAAAAAACTCATCGCAACTTTATTAGAATATTTTGAACGGCAAAGCGGTAGTAATGGCCCTTTATGTCCCTTAAGTGCTGTTAAGAAGGTGAGTTTTGTAGATGTAAATAATGACTGTTTAAATATTTATAATTAATTTATTTTTGTTTCCTAAAATATTTTGATTAATAGAAAATATATAAAAGTGGGCAACATTGTGCCGGTCAAGATTAATCACGTGACTAAAAGTTTATTTGGTATGAACTGTAGATATGATAACAAATAATTTAGAATATAAGTTAATGATTTATTCTACTTAATTATAAAAACCATTTTATTTTTTTATTCGGGTTCATTGTAGTTGACTCTTATTGAAATATTGTCATTTAAACAATCACACAAAAATTAAAATGATTGTATTTTTATGTTAAAATCCACTTGGTTCAAAGTGGGGCTATTTTTATTACTGCCAATTCTATTTATAGGTATATTAATTATACAAAAAATGTATAATAATAATAATAACCCGTGTAGTTGTCGGGTTGTAAAAAGAATTACACCAAGGAACCTCCTGCCTGTCGTAAGAGGCGACTAACTGGAGCAACCGGTCCCGCTACCCTACGTAACCAGATCCTCCTATCCACATACCTCCTCTTTTATCCAACTCCTTCCTTTTAGCGTCCGTTCCTCATTAGAGCGGCTAAAAAGTTAAATCCAAATGCGTCTGTACCCAGAGTGGGCGGCATTTGGTCAGCGTCTGTACCCAGAATGGGCGGCTGTTACACGTTACCTGGCAGATAGGTATAAAATGCAAATTAAGCACAATGATGCAAACAAATAATCAAGCCTCGGAAAAACATCCATCAGGTGACCAGACTGCTCCTGGTGGATTAAGATTGCAGTCTACCCCTGGAGTTGGGGATAGCAGCGGCTCTGAGGGCAAAGGAAGAGGGATTCGTAGGCAGGCAGAAGTGACATCCCCTGCTAGTTCACGAGAGTCTACACCAGAACGACAGACTCGAGTCAGAAATAATGCCGCGGCACAACTTAGTGACGCTGCTATAGCTGACCCACTGACTAACAAGCGTACAGAATGGACAGATGAAATGAACAGATACGTTGTACACGCATATTACTTAGTGACAGAATTGGAGCAAAAAAATCTGGCTTTAGGAAAAAAGTACAAAACAAATTCAAAGGGAAATACCCGGAACATATTTTCACTGAACAGAAAGTAGCAGGACAATTAAGGTCAATCATGAAGAACAAATATATATCAGAAGAGATAATAGAAGACATCAAGAAAGCAGTAGAAAAAGAGCTTCGTAAAATATTACGAGCGAAATACAACACCCACAATGCATAATACAAGAAGCTGATGAAACGGAGGAGAAACAAACTGATCCCATAGAAGAGGAGCTTACAACAAATAATGCACTAGAACCGAATGAAGACCATGATCTAGAGATAACAAGAACCTACAATAAGGAAGGCACACAAAAGTTGCAAGAAGAAATGGAAAGAGCAATACTCGAATATATAGATACAGACCCAGCTTTGATACCAATCTTGCCAGAGCATCATTCATCCGAGAAACTGACAAACACTACCAAAATAATGAATGAAGTAATACTACCATAATATCTCAGAAATTACATAAAAATAGAAGAAGTGCACGCAATAATATACTGCGGAGTAGTCATGGCCGGAACAGCGATTTTTTAATAACAGGTACAAGTTGTTCCAGTTGCAAAAGATACCTGTTCCAAGAAACCTGTTCCAGTTCCAAACTGTTCCAAAACGAAAATTAATACCGTACTTGCGTCATTCTGATTCGGTTGCCATTTTTCTTTTTAAATTTATATAAAAGAATATTTTTTGCTTAAATAATGAGAACTACTGGGATTTTTTTTGTTTTCTCTAAATTTAATCTACTGTCTATGTTGCTATATTACCAAGATATAATGTTTTTTAACTAAAAATTAAAAAAAGACTATCAAATTTTCGAAAAATATAAACTTTTCAAAAACATGTTTTCCCGAAAAAAACTTATAATCGTGTTTCTTGGGTCGAAATATACTACCCCTAAAAATATGTGCACTTATTTAAGACCCACCCTGTATAAGCACTAATGAATAAATATAGATTTATAATTTTGTGATATACTTAAAAAGTAAATTCTTGGAAGAGTTTATTTTTTTTAATATCTACTATATTAAAATAAAAAATTAAAAAATTAAAAGATGTAGCGAATATAAATATTTAGGAAGTATTATATCTGAAGAAGGGAACTCCAAGAAAGATATACATAGTAGAGTTCAACAAGGTAAGAAAGTAATCGGTCTTTTAAACCCTCTCCTGTGGTCAAATAAAACATCCATCCAAACAAAGATAAGGATTTACAAAGCAATCGTAGATCCAATTTTAACATACGGTGCCGAATGCTGGCAATTTACAGCAAAAGAAAGAAGGATGGTCGAGTCAGTGGGGATGGACTTTCTCAGAAGAGCATGTCGCATATCAAGGATGGAACACATTAGAAATGAGGAGATCAGGCAAAGAACAAGGCGAATATATACCAACACCGACAACATCGAATCGAGACAGCTACTATGGTATAGGCACGTAAAAAGAATGGGAGGGAAAAGATGGCCAAAAAGGGCAATGGAGTATCGTCCCCAAAGCAGAAGGAAAAGAAGAAGACCTACAACTACGTGGTTAGATGGAGTAGACCAGTACATGAGAGACAGAGCTATTAACCAGGAAGAATGGACCAGAAATCTACTATATTTATAATACAAAACAATAACCGACTGTTCTTACACTGTATTTTTCAAAAAAATAACTATAATGCGATTATTATATTGCATTTGGCAACATCGCCAGCATTTTTTTATAATAAAAAATGTTCCTTCCCTATTCTGTTTCTGTTTACATTAAAAAAACAAAATATTTAAAAAAAATTATTATAAATTTAAAATTTATAATAAGAATTTAGTTGAGTTTTAATTAAATATTTTAAATAACGGCAACAGCCACACTTGTTTTTTACGCTCCTGTATCCCGACAATAACAGATAACACCTGAACGGTCGCGTCCGCTAGACTTGGCTAGACTAGCGAAACCGATATACGACCTCGATTATCAATTCAAACCAGTTCTTTTTACTTAACTGTTTGGAACCAAACAGTTCCAAGTTCCTAACTGTTCCAAGCCCTAAACTGTTCCAAGTCGCAAACTGTTCCAAGCCTCAAACAGTTCCAAGTCCCTAACTGTTCCAAGCGCTAAACTGTTCCAAGCCCTAAACTGTTCCAAGTCGCAAACTGTTCCAAGTCTCAAACTGTTCCAAGTCCCACTGTTCAGGTTGAGAGTTGAAACAGTTTAGGGCTTGGAACAGTTTAGCACTTGGAACAGTTAAGTAAAAAGAACTAGTTTCAGTTGAGAAAAGAGGGAGTATATCGCTTTAGCGACGCGGTCGTTTGGCGTTACATTATCGAGATTGAATGCGAGTGCACTAATATAATGCATAGACGTAAAAAAACAAGGGTGACGGTTTTCGCAGCGTTGCCGATATTTGATATATTTTATTTAAAATTCAACCAAATTTTTATTATACATTTTAAATAGGAAATCAATGTTTAAAAATACAGAAAGAAAAGAATATCTAACATTTACTATTTTATATATGTAAAATAGTAAAATACATATAAAATAAAAAGAACTTACATTCCTAGATAATAAAAACAAGCGGTTCCTTTGTCGGTATGTATACATTTTTTACGCAGAGTTTTTTTTAATGTAAACAGAATAGGCGAAGATAATTTCTTACCATCAAAAAAACGTACTGGCGATGTTGCCAAATGCAATATAATATATAATTATCTAATTTTGAAAAATACACTATTAAGAATCTAGTATCACAAATATAGTAGATAACATAATTTAAACAATTCCAAGAATTTATTTCTTTAAGTATTTAAATTAAGTTGCAGTGTTTTGAAACAGCTTTAACAGTTGGAACTGGAACTGGTATACGATAGCACATAAACCTGTTCCAAGCCAGTTCCAAAACAAACCTGTTTCGAAAATAACAGATCCTGTTCCAAAGCGTCATCACTACTGCGGAGCACTAACAATAACAAGAGCGATAGGTGGTAAAATTATTATACAGAGTGAAAGCGCAACGAAAATAAAAAATAATAAACCAGGGTGGATGACGAGACTAGAGAAGCGAATTGAAAATTTAAGAGCAGACCTGAATAGAATCATAGGCTACAAAGAGGGTAAGAGATCACGTAGATTAAATAACAGTGTTAAGAGAATTCTAGAGAAGTATAAGATGCAAGCAAAACATGATAAAAACAATGAAAACATAAATGAAGCTAAGAACACGATCAAACAAAAATTGGCAGCATTGAATAAGAGACTCAGAAGATATCGAGATACAACATTGAGAAAAACACAGAACAAACAGTTTACAAACAGCGAGAAACAATTCTACAAAAATCTGAACAAAACAAATAGCAAGGGTAATGGAGCACCAACTAAGGATGACATAGAAAAATATTCGACAAAACTATGGTCTGAAAAAGTAAATCACAATAAGGAAACACAATGGATAGAAA